GCTCAGTTTTAAATTGGGACCTTGTGATTTGACCCAAATCAACAGACTGCTTTATTTCTCACACTTCAAGCGTACAAGACTGAACATGGCAATCCTAAACATTGGTCCCACACCAACTCCTCTTCAGAGGTATGGCAGTCTTGAAACGCTGGAGGAGATCTCTATATATGAAGAAGCTGATGGGTTTTCAAGTCAGGACAAGACTGCAGTTGCAGCAGAGTCACTTGGTGGGCTGGACCAGATAACCTCCATAGCTCCTTTCCAACTTCAGTTATTCTGTAAATCACAAGCTGATACCTAACCAAAGGCAGTCTGCTACATGAGAAATCCAAGGCCCTTCACAAAAAGCATTCGTAGACCTCCTAGTAACTGCTATCTTGCATGATACCCTCACACAGTCTCTGCTTTTGGACAGCCTTTGTCACCTGAAGATCACAAAGACGACTGAGGAAAGCACAGGTAACTGTGGATCCACTAACCAGAGCTTCCTACCAATGACCAGCCTCACACTGCACTTAAGCCAGAGAATAAATACAGATAAATTATGCATATTGTTCTCCAAAGGTAATGCTCCAGCTGGCAGCTCACTGGTGCCACAGGAACCTGGTGTTTGTAACTGAGTGGTGCAGCTCCCAGAATAAGATCCTATTACTCAAAGTCTGAGCAATACTAGGGATTAGGGGCTGACTCAGTTTTCCCTACCTTCAGGCATAAGGATTGAACAGAGAGGGGAATGAAAAACTCTGCTCACAAGAACCATGGCCACTGCTGCTTGTGCTTGATGACCCCCCTTCCCCATTAAAGTGCACCCTGCAAGCACCAGTGATAGTGCCCAACACCAAGCTGCGCACACCCCTAAACCCTGCACAGCTCCTGTATACTCACAGGGACTGAGATTCCATGTTTCCTCGGACTCGGAGTTCAAAGAGAGCTGGGAAGGAGTGGGCCCGCGAGAAACACTGTAGCGGTAGCTCCCCATCAAGCTGCCCCCATTGGTGTCTGTGTGGCTGAGGGACAAGTACTGGCTCTTCATGCCCAACTCCTTCTTCCCGCAGCCCCCATCTAAACTGCGGGAGCTGGAATGGAGAATGCCATCGTGCTCGCCACTCAGCTCCGGGGTCCTGGTGCTGTTGCTGGTATCCATCTCTGAGCTGTCTTCCCCACCGATGTAGAACTTCCCAGTCTCACTGGCCAGGGCAGGTGCTTCCTCTGGGCCCTCCTGCTGGCTGCCTCCCTCCAGGATAGAGTCTGACAGGTCCTCACTTGTGCTATCGGGGCCAGGTGGCAAAGGTGTGCTGGAGCACACCTCTGAAGGCAGGATGACCACATGGTCACTGGAACAACTGGGACAGGCTATGGGCGCGCCAGCTGCTGCAGTATCTGTGGAAGATTTTGTCAGGGATAGAGAAAAAAGACAGCACAGCTCTCCCACAACAAGAATTTACTTTTTTTTTTTTCTCTGCAAACCACAAACCATCCTTTTCAAAGTAGACAGTAGGTCAAACTTGAGCAGCTTGTTGAGCAACTCTGTTCAGAATCATATCCTACACACCTCCCCTCACACATCACTGAAAT